GTCGTCTTCCCCACCCGTTCTTCTTATGGCGTATGGGGACATCCTGCTCCTGCGCCTTTAAGACTTCCTTCTTGAAGATCGTCCAGCCTTCCTGGACCCCTTTGCCCTTCAGGACCGTCTCCCAAGGGACTCTCTCAACCAGCGTCCTGAACAGGCCAAAGTCCGCCCTCCGGAAGTCCATGGTTGTGGTTTTGCTGCCCCCCCTCCTTACTTCACCAAGAAGTAAGGCATCATCCTTGCCTATCTTCTCTGAGCCTTCTTTCATCATAGGGGTCGTTGATCAGTCACACCCTTTCCCTCATACAGGAGCCATGCCATCAAGGCACAGAGGAAAGATGGTGAATGATCGACCTCAGGGCTTACAGCACCCCTCAGGGCTTCCTTCCTTTCCTTTTCCCTTCTTGTCACTTTATGCAGATAGTGAAGACTCTCTAGAGCCTGTAGGAAGCAGACCCAGGTAGCAATAAACCCAGCAAGTTAAGCGTGGAACTTACAATTAGTTTAGTGAGAGTCAAAATGCAGAAGCAGCCTAGTGGAAGGGAGAATTGTGCCATGGCATTAGCAATTTGTGTTACTAGCACTCCAAGACTGGCATATAACTTTTTGTAGAGGCCAAAGTCAATGATTTACATAAAGTAGCTAACCCAGTTTTAGAAACAGGTGGTAAAGTTCAGTACTGTTCACTAGATTTCCACTTTTTCAAGCTGAATAGACTCTGTTTGTTGATTTTGGTAGGGCTGAACCTATTTTGTCTCGACTAAAAGAAGATCACACTGTTATAATATCACCGGTATTTGACAATATTCGTTTTGATGACTTGGAGCTTCTTCAGTATTCAGTGGCTGCAGATGGATTTGACTGGGCACTCTGGTGCCTTTATGAACCTTTACCAGCTGAATGGTATGCTCTGAAAGATGAAACAGCTCCAGTCCGGTAAGTATGAATAGCATTTGAGAGTGAACCAAGATACATGATATCCAACATAGAGCTAGCAGAGGGAAGAAGATGTTTCATAGGTGGTGGGAGAGATATCTACGAAGCACATTGTATCTAGATAGTTGGTTTGGAAGTGTGTGTTCTTTAGCAGCCCTGAAAATCTCAGTACACCAGTTGCAGGGTTGTATTACAGAATCTGCCCTGTGCTGATCCTGCTGTCAGATTTTCAGGCGACCCCCGAGTCATTGATTTTTCTGTCTTGTGTTCCTTAGCTAGGAGTGTGGTAGCAATATTTATTGACTGTACAACGTGAATTGTGGCCCCTCTCCATGCTTGCCCAACAATATGGAGTGAATCTCACAACTTTGCTGGACAATTGCATGTCTGAGCTGTGAGGACTCACATGGATTCAAGTTGTGCAGTTCTTTCTTTGGAGATGTCGGAGTGACATATGATTACAGTAATCTTGGGCAGCCTTTTTCAACCCTTATCACTTGTGTATCACACAAAAGCAAGAAAAAGACACGAACATGATACACACAGCTGTTATACCTAAAGTGACCCCTTACTGCTAGGCTTAGGATCCAATATATTTGCTTCTGTTCCTGATGCCTTCTTTAACTGCTCGGATTAGTTTATATATTCAACACAAGATGGTTGCTGGTACTATGATACCAGCAGCCATCTCATGCTGAATATATAAACCCATTTGTTTCCGTGTTCTACAAGGATGTCAGATGTTGTTGCCTGTCCTTAGCAATTAATAACGCTCTATCAAACAAAAAAAACCTAACAAGAGATAAGATATAGTAATCAGGTTTTTCTAGTCCTATCTTATTTTATTGGGTTTACATGGCAAGGTTTTGGTAGTGGGGGAGGCTGCAGGGATGGCTTCTGTGAGAAGAGGTGAGGGGCTGCCCCCATGTTGGACACAGCCAGTTCCAGCTGGCTCCAAAATGGACATGGTGCTGGCTAAAGCTGAGCCAATCAGCAACGCTGGTGGTGCCTCAGCAATAATCTCTTTAAGATAGGGTAAAAAATGCTGCGCAGCAGCTGTGAGTGAGAGGAATGAGGAAGAAATCTAAGAGAAACAGCCCTACAGACACTGAGTTCAGTGAAGAAGGAGGTGGAGGAGGTGCTCCAGGCACCGGAGCAGAGATTCCCCTGCAGCCCATGGAGCAGACCATGGTGAAGAAGGAGGTGGAGGAGGTGCTCCAGGCACCGGAGCAGAGATTCCCCTGCAGCCCATGGAGAAGACCATGGTGAAGCAGGTTGCCCCCCTGCAGTGTGTGGAGGACCATGCTGGCCAGATATCCACACAGCAGCCTGTGGAGGACCATGCCAGAGCAGATATACACACAGCAGCCCATGGAAGACCATGCTGGAGCAGATATCCACATGACAGCCCATGGAGGACCCCACACCAGAGGAGGTGGATATGCCCTGAAGGAAGATACAACCTGTGGAGAGCCCACACTGGAGCAGGCTCCTGGCAGGAGCCATAGCTCGTGGAGAAATGCTCAGGCAGGAGCATGTTTTCTGGCAAGAACTGCAGCCTGTGTGGGACCCATGCTGGAGCAGTCTTCTTCTGAAGAACTGTACTCCGTGGAAAAGGACCCATTCTGGAGCAGTTCTTGAAGAACTGTAGCCCATGGGAAGGACCCATGTTGGAGCAGATCATGAAGGACTGTATCCCATGGGAGGACCCCACACTGGAGCAGCGGAAAAGTGTGAGGAAGAAAGAGTGGCAGAGATGAAGTGTTATGAACTGACTAGAACCCCCATTTTCCATCCCCATGCCCTGCTCAGGGTAGGGGGAGGAGGTAGAAGAGTCAGGAGCGAAGTTGAACCTGGAAAGAAGGGGGGATGGAGGGAAGGTGGTTTAGTTTTGGTTTTGTCTCTCTCACTATCCTCCTTTATTTTAAATTGGCAATAAATTAAATTAGTTTTCCCCAAGTTGAGTCTATTTTGCTGGTGATGGTAACTGGTGAATGACGTCCCTATCCTTATCTTGACCCATGAGCTTTTTCATCTTCCTCTGTGTTGCTCAGAAGGGGAATGAGAGAGTGGCTTCATGGGCACCTGGTGGCAGCCAGCCAAGGTTAATCCACTATAGTTATTTATATAAAGGGCTTTAAAATTTACTATGTAGACCTTGAGGAGGAAAGGCACCATGAAAATATTTGAAAATAATGTACTGTGTTTGTCAGATGAGATGGCAGATTTCTTCATTCGTATACTACTACAGCTGGTAGCCAAGCATTGGAGATAAGGCTGCACAGATACCTAGATAAGGAACTATGGGTGAAACTGGGACCTGTATGTATTAAAAACATTATACAGTGAGCATTAAAAGTTCAAGCAGGAGAATGGAATGAAAGCAAGCCAAATGTAGCTTAAAGAATATTTCAGGGGGGGTGTCCACAATTCTTAGACCAGAGAAAATAGAAGTGGGTTTGATCGTAGAGAATGGGGATATCAAAAGAGCACCTGTTGTGGTTTAACCCCAGCCAGCAACTAAGCACCACACAGCCGCTCGCTCACTCCCCCCGCAGTGGAATGGGGGAGAGAATCAGAAGGGTAAAAGTGAGAAAACTCATGGGTTGAGATAAAGACAGTTTAATAGGTAAAGCAGAAGCCGTGCACGCAAGCAAAGCAAAACAAAGAATTCATTCACTGCTTCCCATGGGCAGGCAGGTGTTCAGCCATCTCCAGGAAAGCAGGGCTCCATCACGCGTAACGGTTACTTGCGAAGACAAACGCCATCACTCCGAATGTCCGCCTCTTCTTTCTTCTTCCCCCAGCTTTATATGCTGAGCATGATGTCATGTGGTATGGAACATTCCTTTGGTCAATTTGGGTCAGCTCTCCTGGCTGTGTCCCCTCCCAGCTTCTTGTGCACCCCCAGCCTATTCGCTGGTGGGGTGGGGTGAGAAGCAGAAAAGGCCTTGACTGTGTGTAAGCACTGCTCAGCAGTAACGCAAACATCCCTGTGTTATCAACACTGTTTCCAGCGCAAATCCAAAACATAGCCCCATATGAGCTACTATGAAGAAAATTAACTCTACCCCAGCCAAACTCAGCACAGCACCAAATCCTCTTTCAGTCCCCTTTCCCCTGCCTCTAGGATGGATTCATCTACAGTGGAATTGGTCCTGCCAGGCAATCATCTCATCTCTCTTTCAAAACCTCAACTGACAGTGATTCCACAATCCCCCTTGGCAACAGGCTTTAGTGTTTAAGTTTCCTTAATTTTAGGTAATATTTCATAATGTCCAACCTAATTCTTCCTTGCTGCAGTTTAATCTGATTTCTTTCTTCTGGTTTTAAATATGTGAAAATTATTGTTACATCTCCTCTCAAAATAGATATAATTCTTTAAAAAATATTAGAACATACTTTTTAGACCATTGATCAAGTTTATTTGCTGTATTCTGGATTCTTTAATGTTGATCCATGTGTTGTTCTGAATTAAATCTGTTACTCTCTCTTGAATATAACTGGAAGTTCAAGAGGTGATTGATGGCTAATTGACTTTACTTTATTTCCATCGTTGTTGCTTCTTTCTAATTTTGCTTGTTTGGTTCTCCAGGAGCCCATCTATAATGGGGATTCTTGCTGCAGATAGGAAATTTCTGGGTGAGATTGGTGTACTGGATGGTGGAATGCACATATATGGAGGAGAAAATGTGGAACTTGGCCTGAGGGTAAGCCTATTTTTTCATATTTTTCTGAAAGACAGTGAAAATTAGTATGTGATTTTTTTGAAAGCACTCAGGCCACTGGTTGTTGTCCAAAGCATGGGTTAATATTTCAGAACAATTCTGTTTTATTTGGGGTACCAAAGGGAAGTGATAGATTTCTAAAAGTGTTTAAGGCTCATCAGGAGGCTTTTGTTGATATTTCTTAAGGATTTTGACTCCTGACACAAAATCCTAGTTCAGTGAGGAAATACTGAATCTTGCAAGATGCGGTTCTCTGCACAAATTTAAGGTATACGTCTCTTGGCTCGGCAGAAGAATAAGATAAGATCAAGTTAAATGAAGTTATGTATTAGGAAAAAAAACCCCAAAACAAAACCAGAAACAGGGCTGTCTGCCCTAGAAAGTAATGTGTTCTTCAACTTTGGATGTCTTCAAATCAAGAATGGAGGCTTTTTTTTTTTTTTCCAGAATAGTTTTATCTGGAGTGTCCTCAGTTATTAGGGAACATGTGAAAACACTAAAAATTCTATTGATGAGTATTTTTTAAAAGTAATGGTAGTTGGAGATATTCAAGAAGACCTGAGAAGAAAAAAAATGAATACAGCGCTTATCTCTATAAAGAAGAGAAAAGATGGTAGGACGTGAGAATTATAAACCTGTTAGCAAGACTTAAATGTCTAGGAAAAAAGGGTTTGATTATTCTCTTTCTCTGTAAATATGAAAACTAGGGGACTTTGAAAGAAGTTAGTAACGCGTTTCAAAATAAACATGAGGAGGAGGTACTGCATTCTTCCAGTAGCAGACCAGACCAACAGACCAGGAGCAGAGCTCCTTCCAAAGAGTATTGTGGGTCTTAAAAACTTGCAGCCATTCATGGGGAGACTGAACAGTTATGTAAGAAAAACCTACTCAGAGTTAATAAACAAAAGTGAATCACGGGAATATGCAGAAAGTCCCCTGACCTGAAAATAATTGGGGGCTGTGAGAGGTAACATATGTACTTGTCTTGTTCTTAATCTTCCCCAGGAATAAGTTTGCAGTCACTGCGGGATACAGAATATTAGGCTAGATGGACTGTTGGTCCAGCATGGGCATTTTCTCATGTTCTTACAACTTTTTCTTTTTTATTCTGGTATCTATTAGTAACCACATAAAAGATAATACAGACAATATACATTTGCCTGAACAAACCATGTCAAACAAGTCTAGTTTTTTTTTTTTCTATAACAGGGTAGCATGCTTTGTGCAAAGAAGAAAAACAGCAGTAATTAGGAGAAACATGAGGAAGGAGAAACAGAGGTGCAGGTTGGGGAACATCCAGCTAGAAAAGAACTGGGAGTAACAGACTTTGTATAGATCAACATGGCCATGCATCTGGATGGGAAAGGATGGCATTGATGATCCTTCTCTTCTACTGCTAAGTTCTCTTCTGGAGTTGTGTTTTGAGTTCTGGGACCATACATGAGGAAAGATGTGGAGCAATTGAAGACTCTGAAGGAAAGGAAAGAGAACAAACAGAGTTCCTGCAATGTGTGACATTATAGCAGAGATAGGCCTAAATGAGTTTTTTTGATTTGTAGAAGAGACCATCAAGAGGAAATATAGCAACAGTCTTCCAAACATGCTAAATCCTATGTTAAACAAAGCCCCTGTGTGTGAGGCACCACACTGAGTCACGTGGATGTACTAACTTGGGTTGATACTATATTGGAGATGTCAGCACATTTCTCCATTACTCGTGGTGGACATGGCCAAAGACCCCATGCTTCAGATTCTGTCTGTGAGATTGAAATGTCACATGTCATCACCTCACGTCACATGAGGCAGGTTGTGTATTAATTTCAGTGAATTAATATTTCAGTTCTGTTGCTTGAAAATACATTTACACTTTATTGCCCTGCACCATTCACAGTGGAGGCAATGTATGCCTGTAGTCATTTACACAAATGCTGGAGGTGAAAACAATGGAGAATCAGTTCAGTTAAGACACAAAGCTGCTCTGAAAATTGACTGTAAAAATAGTATTAAAGATCTCTGTTTATTTGCACCCTGAGAGTTTCTTGTGTCAAATATGCTTGGTTAGCAAGCAAGCAGTCTCTTACGTTTTTCCTTAGCCAGCTGCCAGCCCTGGAAAATGTAATGTGAAGATGTGAAGGAAGTCTATAGCACTTCCTTCAGTGGAGCATTGTGTGGTGATACCTAAACTAGCACAATAAATCTGCATTGTGCAGTGCCATGTGGACTTGCCAGCTTGAGTTCAGTTCTGCATAGCTGCTTGCCTTTTGAAAAGCTTCCACACTTATATTGGTTTACGTGTAGTCAGGATGGGTGTGTTTGTCCTGGACCTTCGGTACTTTTGAAGCATTGGTTGTGGCCTGCTTAGGTATCCCTCTGAATTCCATGTAGATATTTTCCAGGAATCCACTGGATTTTTTCTTTCTCTTGAATTCTCCCTAGTGTGTAGGATTTTGCAGGACCAGTTTTGCTCTTGGCACGTCCCGGGCAATGTCACTGCTTCTGAACGATTCAGGCCCATAACCACCACAGTATTTAGCAGTCTAGCTCCTAGGGAGATCAGTTGGAGGTATGTACCAGTTTGTCTTAGAGCATCTATGCCAATTGATCTGAGTGCCTTGTCACACAAGGCACTGGTGTGTAGTAGTCACTACTGGTGAGTAGTTTTGTTAATGGTGATGGCAAAGAAAAAGAAGAAAGAACATGCCTTTACTCTCCTGAATCTGTGATAGGGCTACACACAGTAGAAATGAAAGGTATTGAAAAATTCCTTTCATTCACTCAAGCCAGGAAATAGAGCTTTGAATGTTGAAGGCCTGCCAGTTCATCTGGTGAAGGAGTGGGGGGGAGCAGAAATGGGAGCACTTTAACAAAAAGTGCAGAGTTTGAATAAATAGGCAACTTCACCTCAAATTCTTTCTTCTTGACCTAGGCCTGGCAGTGTGGAGGTAAAGTAGAAGTGCTGCCCTGTTCAAGAATTGCTCATTTGGAAAGAGCTCACAAGCCTTACTTGCCAGACTTGAGCATCATGGTGAAACGCAATGCCTTGCGGGTAGCTGAAGTGTGGATGGATGAATACAAGTACATGGTCTACTTTGCATGGAATCTTCCAATTGAGGTGGCAGTGTTTCTCTGTGTTTCAAATTGGAATCCAAAGTCTAAAAGTGGTCAAATAAGAGCATGTGGTCACACAAAAAGAGGCATAGTGTGGTTATAAGAATCACTGTGGAAAAAAAAAATTATTAATATTGATATGTTAATAATTATTGATATGGATGGCATCCAAGAGCCATGATCATAGACATGTTTCTCTTAGGCTTAGACCAAGAGCTGATGCCTAGCTTAAAGAATATAAAATGAAATTGTTTAACATGTATTTTAACTTTTTTAGGGAAAGTAGGGCATATTTTACCTGGAATATTCATAGTTTTGCATGAAAGAGCATGTGTCTAGTGATCTGGGTGTCCCTGAATATCTTTTAAATGAGCAAAATTGAACTTTAAATAGAGAATTCAATTGCTCTTCATCACATACATAACAACTTTTATTAAGTGAGCTCTCCTCTCTGTAGCCCAAAGTTCTGCTTTTGTTTTCCTGGAAGAAAAAGGGGAAAGACTTATAGCATCCTTGGAAGGATGAAAAATGGTAATACCAGAAAATTAAGAACTTTGATAATAATAATCTAAATCCTTTAAATTACAGGGTTTTTCTTCCCTTTTGATTGACTTCAGGACTTCTGAATATGGTTTTAACTTTTCTCCAGCAGAAACTGTTGAAGATACTGGAAGTGTCAAGACCAGGGTTTGAGTATTGATAATTTCAGTTAATAAAAAAAAACCTGTATGAATTTTTCCAGCCTGCACTTCAGTGGATTTATGAATCTTTAACAAAGAAAGAATAGCCTCCCACCTCCTTGTGTTTTCTTGAATAGATATTAAGGAAACAAATTAAAATGTATAGTGATATAACATGAATTAAAACTTCAGAAGAATCCTCTTTCCTTCCCCATTAATTAACTTTTACTGTAAATATTTGGAATTTTTCATCTGAAAATGCTACTCATCAAAAACTAATCCATTGGTAGGAACGCAAGTATCAGTTTTAGCACTGAACGAAACTTGCATAAAACTTCTTCACCTTCAATGACCCCTTTTCTCCGGGATGTACAAGTCTATTTGAAATTCCTAACCTAACTTATTCAGGTCACAGACTACATTTTACAGAACTGCTTAAAGACAGGGTGTAAGCTCCTGTTGGACTGATTCCCGTCAAACTTTCCTGCTGGAGCCGTTCCACTTTGCATAAGAAGTTACATAGTCTTGGAAACAATAGTTTGAATCTTGATTGCTCCCATATGAGATGAGTGTCACAGTCAACAGATCATTGATCAAGCTATGGTTGTTAACAAGTTCTGTCCTATTTTTCACTTTGAGCTAGATTTTGTTTGTCAGTATGAAAACTACTCCCTAGCCATATGTAACTTCGATATTCTTTATATTTATGAAGTCATAACATAAAGTTAGTTTTTCAGTAATTCATTGGTGCCTCTAGGCAAACATGTTCTGAAATTCTGAAGTTTAAAAAATACAGAGGTTTTTTTTTTTAATGAACTTTTAAAGGTATTTTTTATGTTATGAATAGACAATATGGAGAAATAAGTCTGTATTTTCCCTAGTTTCTCAGACCACCTTAATGTTCTGAAATATGTTGTTCTTGCAGAATCCTGGAATAGACTTTGGAGATGTTTCTTCCAGAAAAGAGCTAAGGAAAAAACTGAACTGTAAAAGCTTTGACTGGTACATAAAAAACATTTACCCCAATTTAATAGTTCTTCCCAACATTGTTGGCTATGGAACAGTAAGTATTGAGTCTGTTTATTTGAAATATGGAACAACTAATTAGCTCTACTGTTATGAAGAATTGTTGTGAACACTGTTTTGCTGATTATGATATGTTTTCCTAGAAACTTTAAAAAGACTTTTACATGTCTTTCTAGACACTGAAGCTTTCTAAAGGCTTTTTCATACTAGTCATCAATCTAGAATTTCTAAACTGTGGTTATTGTGTATGTACTGATGGCAGCACAACAGTAGTTTGGGAAAGTGCTTAACATGCATTTTTTTACTGCATGCAAAACTCATCTATTGATCAACAAGAACGCATCAGTGTCTTCTTGTAAGGGCCTGAATTTTTCAATGGAATATATGGATTTTTTCTGCAGAGATTAGCAGGATAATTTGGAAAGCATGCAGACATGAATCAAGATAGCATGTAATGCATTGGAAGTCAGGCCACTGTTTGCGAAAGAGAAAACTAATCATCCAGGCTGCAGTGGCTTCTTAATATAGGTAGGCATTTTCTAGACCCAAGCTTGCATAGCTTGCTAGAACTGGGCAGTGATACTCACCTGTTTGGAGTTGCCTGGTGACTTCTTACATGGTGCTACATGGCACGATGTTGATGAGTCTTTGAAGGACCTTAGATTTGCTTTTGATTTTTGCTGTGATGAATCATTTCTACAAAGGTAATCTGAGATTTCTTTTCTAAACCCATATTGTATCTTCCACTTCAGGATTCAATGCAGAGCTCTGAGTAAACTAGCCTTGCTCTCAGGTAGGTTTCTAAAATTAGCGGCGAGGAGTTGAAAACAGGATTGCTGCTCCTCACAGTAAATTTCCTGTTTTATTCTGCAGATGAAAAACACATTGAAAGAAGACATCTGTATTGATCAAGGCCCTGTCCCTGGAAACACACCAATTATGTATCCCTGTCATGCATACTCACCACAGGTAACGCAAGCAACTGGTCAGATCTTCACATATGAGCTGTTGCTAACTGTTCCTTTCAAGCCTCCACAGGGCCATGAAATAAGCGCTTCAAAACTATTATCTCTGTGCTATCTAAAGGGGAATATTAACCTTTATTTCATTAAATTCTGCTCCCCAGTGCAACTGGCAGCAGAGCAGGTTCCCGTGGAGATCTAAGTGCATTAAACCAAGGCTTTTGGTTTAGCCTTGCCAAAAAATTGTGAGACCTCAAGTTGATACTGATTGACCTTGTTGATTAATAGATCAGTGGGAAGAATGGGAGAGAGGTGGAGCTCTTCCTCACACCTCACTGCCTGTCCTCTCAGTAGGAGGGAAGCTAAGGGTTACCATTCAATTGTAAGCATCTTGCTTTTTTTCACTGGAAAGCAGAAAGGTGTTGTATAGGGTTAAATTCATCTTGGTTTAATTACTGAGAGATCAGTGAATGCTGGTGCTATACAGCTGATACCTCTCAGTATCAGTTTTGGAACGGTTTGCTATCATTTGCTGATGAGATTTCCCTGGTATCTTAGTTCACTGACAGTGGTGTCACCTTCCCTTTCAGCACATCTTATATCACAGCACTGGAGAAATGTATGTAGGAGGTTTACGTGCCCGATGGAATACAGTTGATAGATGCCTAACAGACCCTGGGGATGGGGACCTGCCAGTTTTAGAGCAATGTGACACAGCTGTGAATAAAGGCCTGAATTTGCACTGGGATTTTAAGCAGGTAGGTGGATTTCTATATCCCCATATTTCAATAATAATAATTTCCCATTATAATGAATCCTTAGACACTTTCCTTGCAAAGCAGTTTGCTTCTGAATAACGTTGCCTCAATTTCAAGACTTGCAGGTGCCACTGCAAGAGCTACGGTGAAGCTGATTGAGTCTTCAGGGGTGTGTGATGTTAAACACAAGGAGATGGTCACACAACTGAAGCTGACTGAGTTGCCAGAATTTAACCAGTTCTCACTTGTTGTCTGAACCATAGCCGCTTATTTGTCCTCCAACTGTCTGTCAGTCTTGGTGGAATCAGCTGGTTTAAGCCTTTTACTTAACGGTTTAAGTCTTTTAATTTTTAGCTGGGCCAACTAAAAACACTCACTTGCTCAGTTATCACAGTTCAGCTAATGGGCAGGGAATGTGCAAGCCCAGGTGGCTCTGGCTTTTGATGGTCTGACTATACTTGTGAACTCGTAGGTGGATTTCTATATCCCCATATTTCAATAATAATAATTTCCCATTATAATGAATCCTTAGACACTTTCCTTGCAAAGCAGTTTGCTTCTGAATAACGTTGCCTCAATTTCAAGACTTGCAGGTGCCACTGCAAGAGCTACGGTGAAGCTGATTGAGTCTTCAGGGGTGTGTGATGTTAAACACAAGGAGATGGTCACACAACTGAAGCTGACTGAGTTGCCAGAATTTAACCAGTTCTCACTTGTTGTCTGAACCATAGCCGCTTATTTGTCCTCCAACTGTCTGTCAGTCTTGGTGGAATCAGCTGGTTTAAGCCTTTTACTTAACGGTTTAAGTCTTTTAATTTTTAGCTGGGCCAACTAAAAACACTCACTTGCTCAGTTATCACAGTTCAGCTAATGGGCAGGGAATGTGCAAGCCCAGGTGGCTCTGGCTTTTGATGGTCTGACTATACATTGTGAACTCTCTGCACTGTCCACCATCTCTCTTCTCAGCCTCCTCATGGGACCTGTTGGTCTTAGGGAAAAAGCGGGCTGATGCCTTGTCCTGCTCACTCTCTGGTACCATCTTCTGTACCAGTGTCCGAGCATGAAAATCCTTGTTGGAGATCAGGCTAGGTTCATCCTTTCAGAGCTCAGGTTACAGCTGCCGATTAGAGCCTTCACGCCATGTTCACTTGTCTCCATTTGTGCAGGATTTATGACAGCCGATGCTGACATGCTTAAGATCCCAAGTGATACTTTCATATTCTGTATTCAGTGCCTCTGAATACAGAATATGATAATACTAGCTTAGTCAGGTATTCTAAGACAGATACTGCCCCTCTGTTGGGGCAGCATAAACAGGCAGCAGCGATAATGATGGAGGGAGAGGTGGGAAAGGAAGCCATGCAGCTTCTCCCCTCTCAGGCAGTTCAAACCTTATTAGCTTTATGTAATTAATAATTAATTAATTTTGTGTGTACTGTGTGGGCTTGCTTACTGTATCCCTCAGTGAAAAAGTAAGCAGGAGACAAATCTTGTGAGAGAGTGGTAGAGAACAGAGGAGTTGAACTGGTGAAAGACAAAGGTTTCAGTGATGTGCACCAAATAATACAGACCTACGTGGTCTGCAGAACTTCTGCTAACATGGGATTTCCTTTATCTTTAGTCTCGTCTGTAACTACAAAACTTAGAAGAAGTTGCAGGTGTGTTTCTGGAAGATTTAGACCCACCTTAAAAGTAAACCTTCAGTTCCTTATGTGCATTGAGCATTATCATAGTGAAACAACTAGCTGCCTGAAGGAGTTGTTTAAGATCCTGTTTGTTCTGGAGCCCATTTCCAGCGTGTTGAGTTGACTTAATCACAGCCCACCCCATTCACAATAGTTGGTACTGAAATATTGACTTAAAGATAAGAGATCAATATTCTCTTACCTGTCATTAACTCTCTTCTTTCAAAACAGGATGCAGTATTAAAATTTACTAAAATGATTTTTTGAACTGTAAAAAAACCCCCGAACACCCCACAAAAAACAAACATGACTCCCCCTCTCCCCCAACTCCAACAAAACAGACACAAAATAAACCTCTAAATATATTTTAATATGCCTTGGAGAGTTCCATAAGCCGTCATGCGTCATTAGCCTGAGGAAAACACAACATTTTTCTTTCAGGTCTGTGACCTACTAGTGTTTCTCAGACACACTTGTAGAGGCCAAAAGAGTTGCTTCCTGACTGAGCACTAAATTTATAAGCCCTCAGCTTCTCTCATATTTCCTTTCCTTTTGTAGGGATCAGCCGTAATCAACAGGAGCACTAAAAGATGCCTCGAAATCACAGCAGAAAATCCAGTTTCATACAGACTTGTAATGCGGACCTGCACAGGACAAAGGTGGAATATCCAACACACAGTTAAGGACTGGGGAAAGACGAAAGACCTGGAACAGAAGACACAGTACTCAAAGCATTGACTAGAGGACATTTTTCCTTGAAAACTGCTATGTTCATAACACAGCAGTGGAAGCAATGATTTCAAGAGTTTGTTTACACGGGATTTTATGATGTATTAGTTATCGCAGGAGCTATGAGCTATTCACACAAGGGTGCAAGTTCATCTCATTGCATTCTTGGGGCATCACCCCCCTGAGTTTCCTCAGTTAGGAGGGGGATTGTCTTTGCTCTCTTTTGTTACGACCAGAAAGAAGCAGTTACACCTAAGAGTGTTTCAACGCACCTGAGTTCCTTATGTTGTCCTTTAGAAGTGCCTATCTGCTCATTAATGAAAGACCCATGTAAGGTCTCTAATTTTCTAACTTTGGCATTTTGGTTAGATATGAAAATTCAGAAGAAACGAAAGTGGGTCTGACTTTCTCTTGTACACAGAGTTTATCTCAGGCTGAATTGGACCATTTTTCTTGTCTTGTGTCATATAGATAACGCAAAACTTCTTGTCAAGATGTGCTTATGCTAGTGGGTGAAATGAAATACACCCTTGTTCTTCTGTCCCTATAAATTGCCTAAACATAATTCAGTTTCTCAGTGAAGTTTATTAGATTCAGCAGTGTGCCACACTAAGGCTGTTTTATGTTTACCTACATGAGATTAGTTTGTGCTAGCCAGCTGACAGCATGGATAAAGTCCCCTTGGAAACAAGGGGATTCAACTCAGTGGTTTTCACAAACTAATACAAGGCCAACGCAGTAGCACATGTCTGTCGGAGAAACTGAGTAAAATATGGCATGAGTTGCTAATGGGAGGCAACTTCCCGGTAGACACGATATGAGTTCTTGTAGAAATAGGGTTAGGTGGAACTTGCTGTCCTACTTCTTAGAGTAATCACTCCTAAGACTTATGCTTATTTGTTAAAGGGAACTCCTGTAAAATAAACTCATTGACACTATATATATCTCTCTCTATATATATATCTATATCAAACTATATATATATATATATATATTGTTTTCCTCTATCCCTACAGTGGCAGGGAAGGATACTGAAAGGAACAGGAAAACACACCTGATCAACACGTGGCTCAGG